TGAGACCACAGGCTTCGGCGAATTCTTGAGTGACTCAAGCCCCAGGATTCCCACCACTTCCTTGGCTGGAGAAGTGGGTTTGGATCACTCTGTCCTATGGTATAGCTCCCAGTAATTGTGCCTTAGAGCACCCTTCAAGAACTGCTTCCCCAGACTCCTGCTGCAGTTCCACAAGCACACAGATGCCACAACAGGCTAAGAGCGGGTCCCTCGTTCAGCAACCGTCGTCGAATCGCCCACAGTTGAACTTCTCTATGGCTCCTTAGAAGACAGGTGACCTCAATGTCTCTTACAGAATTATCCATCAGGAAGGGAAAGGACTGATTAGCTTCTCACATGTCAGAGTACCCAAAAGTGTTAGGCTACCTGGACAAAAACAGAAACAGTACAAGTCTATGTTCCTGTGATTCTTCCCATGTGCATGTGTAAGATGTTCGTGTGATTCTTCCCATGTGCATGTGTAAGGGCTTCTGTTGGCGTGAGAGGAAAGCAAGATTTACGTGGACGGAGAGACACAGGGAGGGTGTTGGTCCCTCTCCATCCCCCCCTCCCCAACACCACTCATCATTTATTGCTAAAGTCACCAGCAATTGTCATCCTTAGCAGCATTTCCACTAATGTAATAAACAGTTTCTATTAGCAAAGAACTTAATCTACATACAGAGTGGTTGGTGTTTGTGAGGCTTGCCTTAGGGACGGGAGTGTAAAAAGACCACTGAATTGTGGTCTGAGCAGTGTGGAAAGAAAAGGCAAATCAGTGATGAGAGACAGAAGGTGGCCGCTGTGGAAAGGGAACGGGCAGGCCTGTCCACTAGGACAGAGAGAAGGACAGAAAAGGGACAACGGAGACCTGAGTGTGGCTGTAAGCAATCCGCATGTCTCTCAAGAATCACTTCTCTCTAGAGCCAATTGCCTCCTGTTCCTTGCTCAGTTTCCCACCTAGCTTCTGACCCTGTGAGGCTCAGGGGCGAGATCCTGCTTTACCTAGAGTGGTGGGTGCAGAAACGTAGAAGTCAGTGGACCTCCTGCCCTTTAACACTGTTGGGGGCCAGCTGGTGACGTGGTGGTTGAGGTAGCTGGATCCTACTGGGCAGACTGCTCCATTGGAGTCCTAAACATGCCAGGTGTGTGTATGTGTGAGTGTGTGTGTGTGTGTGTGTGTGTGTGCGCGCGCGTGTGCGCATGCCTAAAATTATGAAAGGAGGAAGAGATACAGGAAAAGGGATCGCAGTGTGACCACGCCCCGTGGGGAGGTGACGCCGCACTTCCCTTCTCTCTTTTTCTCTGGCAAGTGCACATGCCCTGCAGTAAAACGAAAACTATAACAGCAGCAACAGCAACAAACACCATGAATCGACTACTTCTGGTGTTTTAGTTCAGGGAGTTTAAGCACCAGAAGTAGCGTTGTTAAGGGAGTTTCCAGCAACTAGGGGCAAACATTTTGGGACTGTCCCATGCACCAAATGGTTCGTGAGAAGTGGGCATTGCCCTGGAGTACTCAGAATTGCAGTGTGGTTATTCCCTGCTTCCTGTTTGACTTGCCAGTTATGATGAGGGGTATGTTTTCCATTGGAGGGTGGCACCCATAGCACTTTACAGAGATGTGAGAGAGGGGTCTGTTACAGTTTCAGTGAAACATACTGCAAGGAACGAGTGTGGTAGCAGCCAGCCCTTGCGATGATCTTGAAGCTCGGAAATGATCTTTTCTTGTGTGCCTTTGTGTGAAGTAAGAAACACAGTGGGGCGGGACATGACTCTCCCCAAAAGCTACACTGTAAGTAATGACTGGGTAGAAGTCAAAAGAGATGGGATCTTCTGTTGTTTACCCCCACTCCCCTTCTACTCTGCTGTGATAGGCTCCCAGACATTCATCCATGAGGTACCATGAATGGCTGTCCACAAAGATCTCAAGGATTGCCCCCCTGCAGATTGTAGGGGTCGGGGAGGGGGTCTCTAGCATACAGAGATGATTAGCTGGAGATGAGCCAGCGCAGATCTCTCAGGAGCTAGTTCATTCTGTTTCCAAATGTGATGAGGAAGGGCCGTTGGAAATAATGGAAACCCCTCTAAGCTGACAGTGGACAATACTAATGAGACCTGACAAATTTGGGGCAGTGAAAGATGGAAAAGTTCTCTGCATTATGTGATAGCTCCAGGAAACAGCCCCTGCTCTTGGCTGGATATGAAGTGGAGGGAATATCATATATTCTGTGCACCAAGAACACTTGCTAATCCCAAACAGTTCGCTCCTTTTTACTGGAAAAAGACATGACAGGATCACAAAAAAAATCCAAGATGAACTCGAGAGACTTCTTGGCTTTGATCGCTGTAAGCTCTCCTCCAGGGGGCAAGGAGTAGGGATTAGGAGGGGCTGTGGCTTAGATCAGAAGTGAGATCCCACAGGGAAGTTTGCGCGCTTTGTTGGGATGTGATGGAAGACCAAGGAGGAGGTGTGGTGATGGTGGTGGCGGTGGTGGTGGCGGTGGGGGGGTCGTCCAGGTAGAGTACAGGCCAGAAGACAGGAGGCCAGACTCATTGCAGAGACCACACAGCCTCCCAAGGAGGCTCAGGATGTTGCTTAGTCCCTGCAGGCTGGCAGGGAGGGCGCTCACCAGGCTGCCTGTGACTTACTTATGTGGCTTCCCTTAGTAATTGTGCTCAACTGTGGGCCTCTCAGCTACTTCCCACTATTAGGAAGAGGGTGTTTGAAAATTAGAAACGAAAGGAAGGTCATTTAAAAGGGCTCCAGGAGGATTAAACTTAAGTACTCATTACATAATATTTGTCATTCCCTGCCGTCAGCAAACTTCTTTCTCTATGAGGGGCATGAGTTCCCTATGAGGGGCAGGAGATCAGGGTCTGTGGGGTGTGAATCTGGGGGTGTCAAGAGAATGGGCTGAGAAGAGCGAGCTTTCCCTTGTCATTGCTGAGTGGTCTCACGCGAGCGGTAAGGATTACGCAAGATGGCAATGTCTAAGGGGGCCCAATGATTTTCTGCACACTGCCTCCTGAACTAGACAGCAGAGATCTTATTACTTGCCCCTAACATGGGGCAGCCTGGAAATCAAGTAACTGGGTGGAGTTGACAACAGCTACTCAGCTTTACATATGAGTAACAATTACAACAGTAAGTACACCAAGCAACCCCACTGCTAGTACCTGCCACGTGCCGGACACTGCTGGTGCTGAGCATGTGGCCCCAATTGCATCCTCATATTTCCTCGCATCCCCATCTCCACTTCGTGTGTGAGGAAACTGAGCCTGAGAGGACAAGACACTTGATATGATTCTAACTCAACTTCTGAACCCCAAACCGTCTTCTCACTATGTATTAAAGTCAAGCAGAAAACCACGGAGGTGGGCAGGAACCTGAGAGATGCAAACGTGAATTTGAACGCGTGGGGAGATTGTTAATAGCAGGCATGAAAGAGCCAAGTTCTTTCCCAAGGTGGCAGGATGAAACCCATCGCTTTTGTCATTCACAGTTAAATGGGACACATTGCTGAAAACTTGCCTGGGTTGGAGGGAAGTGTCCTGATTCCGAAGGGGTTATTGGAGAGGGTCAGGGTAGATGGGGAAGCCAGTGTCTGCCTGCAGAGAGCAAGGCTCCATGGTGTAGTTAGATCTTTCTAGATTTCTAGTGCCTGATGAGGAAGGCGAGAGGAGATAAAAGGCACCAGAAGAGGTGGAATGACAGTATCAGCACTCTCTAATAAATACCTGGGGTGGCATGAAAGTGGCTCAAGCACATTCAAAGCATCAATTAAGTCAGGTGGAGTGAGAAAGAGAAATGCGACAATTGCAGGACGTGCCTGGTCATCAGCTCCCGAGGTGGGGGCATCCCCACACCTACCTGCTGGGCAGTGACCTCCAGCTCTCTCCTTTTGCTGTCCCTCGGAGCCTGCCCTGCCTGCTCACTGTCTCTGGCATGACAAAGCTTTGCTTCTGCAGCTGACAATGTAAGTCGGGATCGCCTCCTCCACGTGCGTCCTTCACGCTTTCTTCATTTTCTAGGTTTTATGATCAATGGGCTCCCTTCTGCTCTGCTAGGATTAGGGCTGAATGCTTTTGTTGATCCAGGCACATTCTTAATCTCTATTAGTTCCTAAACCTTCCATCCTGTGATTTATACATTCTTCTGTCTTCCGTGCTGAGCCCTGAAGGGTCAGAATGCGTGTGTCTATATTCTGCATAAGTAGAAAGCACATTTGGTGGTAGCTCAAGCTGCACATGCCAAAAGCCGGCAGAACTGTCGTCCCGAGCTGTGGGAAATAGAACACTCCGCTGCAAACCAATGGCAGCGTCCCTACCACGAGGCACAGGCAGCTCAGAGGCTCAGCTGTAGTAATGCCAGTCTGAAATGTTCAAGCAGTGACCAGACCATTAAACTGTAATTAAGTTGTTGTAATTCTTGAATATCAAACAGCATTAGAATCATAGAAGTTGTGTCTCTCCCATTTTATATCTCACCTGGGATCAAATTAGTAGCCTATTCAGTATTTGGGCAGTGAGTAATGGCTGCTGCTCTGCAGGAGGCATTCACTCTTATTAAAATTGCTGGGTGAGCACCTAATGGGCACTTCCCTAGTGGAAAATTGAAATTCATGTGACGTGGTTGCACAGAGACCTGGAAATGACAAAGGTCTTTTAAAAAGGCAAAGTCCTACTTTGGGCCTCTAAAACACAAAATAAAACATTAACGGTGATCAGACTGTATTTTTTTAAAAATAGGCTATAGTAAAGGGGTGAGTATCTAAATATCTTGGACGAAATGACATGATCTTTCCATTTAGGCGTGTGTAACTAGATGAATAGGCACGGAGGCATAAAGGAAACGAGGTTAACAAGGTGTTCTCAGGAATTTGTGATAAAATAGTGACGTTTCAATTCTATCTTCATCCTAGCAGACCATCCACACATGCAGGAAAGCTAAGTTGTCTTATTGGGTTGAAAAGTTACCTTTTTTGGGGGGCCTCATTTGTCTTCTTTTTTCTTTGCAGAATTCTCTTTGCTCACCAGTTACCAAAAAAGCCAAGATGTTGATGTTACTGGCTGGTATCTTTGTGGTCCACAATGCCACCGTTATTATGCTGTTTGTTTCCACCATCGCTAATGTGAGTAATGTTCTCTTGTTCATCCATCCATTCATTCAGTGAGAAATTATTCGAATGTTACAGAAAGTGTGGCAAAAGGCCCTTAAGCCACAAACCCTGTCCTCAGTGAACTTCCAGCTTAGTAGTGGGGAGGAAATAAACCTGAACTCAGGCTTCAGACAGTCAAGTAACGCGAGGATAAAAGCTAGTGTCTCCATCGGCGATCCCTCCAGGCCAGCAGGTGTCTGGAGGCTGCAGGATACAATCAACTTTCTTTGGTCTCTAGTGGAGCTTTCCAGCAGCACAGGTGGAACACGGCTGAACATGGAGGGCTGGCAGATGGGTGGTGTTTCTTTTGGTGAAAAGGGGACAGTGGGAAGAACACTGGGAGGCATTCCAGGTGAGAGTTCCAGCAGAGGCGCTCACATGGGAAAGACACGCTTCGTTCCGGGGATAGCGCCACGGAGACCCATGGGGCTGGAGCAGAACTTCTTTTCCTCCTGGGAACTGCGATTAGAAGGATAGGTGAAGAGTGAGAAAATGAGAGGCTTTGATTGCCAGACTGAGAGATTCAAGTCTTAAGCAGGGAGTAGCATGTCAAAGTGGAATTTTACGCGGTTAACCTGGTGCCCCTGAATTCACTGAAACAAAGCCACCTAAAGATATATGGAAGCAGTGAGAAACTCTTCTCTCTGAAGGGCTGCTCTGACCTCTAGTGGTGGTTTATAGTGTCTAACCTGTTTTTATTATGCTTTTCTCAGAAAAAAACAAAAACCAAAAACCAAAAACCAAAAAACAAGAGCTCCTTGGACTCGAAAACCAAGGCCACCAAGTGTTAGGCAGGCAAATGATAGCTCCAGAACTGCTGGCCGTTAATAAGTAGCCTGAAAGCTCCGCTAAGTGCTTTGCAGACACGGGCTGGTGCGATACAAGGAAGGCTGTTTAAGAACAGTGGTGAGGGAACCAGCAGTCAGCGTAATGGCTATGTCACTGGACTCCCATGTGGTCGACTGCGGTTCGCGTCTCGGACCCGGTGGCTTAAATCTCACACCGGGCTCGTGTGCATTCGTGCCCAAGATCCCGAGAGGAGAATGGAGGAGAAGGGATTGCGGCGTGACCATCCCCCCTGGGGGGTGATTTCTCGCTTTCTGTCTCTATGTCTCTGTCTGTCTGGCGAGCGCACGCGCCCTATAGCGAAAACCTCTCCCCCCCCCCAAAAAAAAAGAACAGTGGCGAGACGCTAGCCCGGTGCATGCTCTGTCTTGGATGTTGTAAGTTAGCCATTCTGTATGCCAGCACCATGTCTCTCAGGATAACAGGTCTATAAATGTCTTCAAAGTGTTTTAATGGATACCAAGGTGCTGCACGTCTGGGAACCGCCCACCCCTAACAGAGGGCTTGGCGCACAGCTGTTAACTGTAATCACAATGCTGACTGCACACCCTTGGCCCTGCTTTTTGGTGTGTGCATTCCTGTGTGTGTGTACAGACAGGACCCCACACCGGTTTTTATTTTAAACCGAGATTTTTGCTATAGGGCATGTGTGCTCACTGTAGAGACAGAGAGAGACAGAGAGACAGAGAGACAGAAAGCAAGAAATCACCCTCCAGGGTGAATGGCCATGCTGCAATCCTTTCTTCTCCATTCTCCTCTTAGGATTTTGGACATATACACACATGTGCTTTGCGTGAGTGTTAAGATGCTGGGTCCAGGACTTGAACCATGGTCCACTACATGGGAGTACAGTGACATAGCCATTACACCATCTGCTGGTCTCCCTGCACTGGTTTCCTATTCCAAAAGAAAAATTGTCTTTCTTGGGCCTGGTGGGAAAGGGTGCTGGCACCATGGTGATTCAGGTGAATTCAAGGGGACTTCAAAAAGTTTATGGAAAAGCAGAAGTATAATTTAACTTGATGTCAACAATTTTGAAATCCATGCATATTTTTTCATAATGTACATTTTCCATGAATTTTTTAATGCCATAAAGCACATGTGTGCACATGCATGTGAGAGACAGAGAAAGATAGGGAGAGAGAAACTGAGAGAGAGATAAGGAGGAAGCACCCCCCTGGTAGGTCCTGGTCACTCCATGATCATTTTTGCTCTAATTCCCCATCATGTCAGAATCCTGGACATACAACATGTATGTACCCAACATGTTTGCATGCTTTTTTTTTTTTTTGAGACGCTCTTGCTACAGCCATGTGTGCTCACTAGAGAGACAGAAAGGAAGAAATCACCCCGCAGGGGGGATGGCCATGCCACAATTCCTTCTCTTTCATTCTCCTCTTGAGATCTTGGGCACACATGCACACGCGCCCGGCATGCGTTTAAGCCACCAGGTCTGGGACTCGAACCATAGTCGACTACATGGGAGTCCAGTGCAACGTAGCCATTACGCCAACTGCTGGTCCCCCCAGCATGCTTTTTAAGCCATGGTATTCGATCTGCCATGTGAGATCTGGCTTCCTCTGCACAGTGTTTAACATCTGTGCTATGGAGCTGGCCCTGTATTCTATTTTCAGCTGTCCCCACAGTAAAGCTCTTACTGAGCTGTTTTACTGTGAAATTACCTTGCATGTTGCAACAGTCAAATTTAATCCTCATGTTTAGATAAAAATGGCTTATTGGCCACTTAGACTCAGTGATACTTCCCCAGGAGGCCTTGGATCTCTTACTCGTCACCAGTTGGACTTTTTTCCTTTCCTGTTCTTTCTTATTAGTCAGGTCTTCATGTGAAACAATGTGAACAGAGTATGAACTGTACATACCGAAATCAATGTTCTCATCCGGGGTTTCTGTTTCTTAGAGTCTTAGAATTTTAAAACACTATGAATTGCTTTCAAATTTTTTTTTTAATCTTATAGAATGTGAAACTCAAAGAGGCTAGTTAATATTTTCTGGGTTCTTACCTTTTAGGACTTTTTATCCTTTTTTAAAAGATTTTTGCCATGAGCATGTGTACTCGCTGGAGAGACAGAGAGAGGGAAAGTGAGAAATCACTTGCCAAGGAGGGTGGCCACATCACAATCCCTTCTCCTCCTCTATTCTCCTCTTGGGATTTTAGGCACACACACACACACACACACACACACACACACACACACCCCTAGTGTGATTTTTGCTGGGTCCAGGGCTCGAACCATGGTTGAACATGTGGGAATCCAGCACCTTAACTACCATGCCACCTGCTGGCTCTGTGACTTCAGTTTTAATCAGAGCATAGTTCCACCAAGAACTAACTTGCTTTGCCTATGCTTGTGGTTATGGATAGTTGGTCTTAGATAAGATTTGGTCCTGATGTAAGCTGGTTTATGATTTTCTTTTTATAGCAAGGGTCACTTTTTAATTGACCTTTTCTTTCTTTTTGCTTTCAGGTCTGGGTGGTTTCAGATTATGGAAATGCCTCAGTAGGTCTTTGGAAAAACTGCACCGTTGGTCACTGTGAAGGCACCCTGACATATGGCCATGAAGGTATATAGAAAGACACTTATCCAGTCGGGTAGTTGGTGTGGTCAGGGAAATGCCCAGGCTCTTGGAGTTGCCTAACACTCTTACTCTCTCCCTCTGCGTCCACAGATGCCCTCAAGGCGGTGCAGGCCTTCATGATCCTCTCCATCATCTTCTCCGTCATCTCTCTTGTGGTCTTTGTGTTCCAGCTCTTCACCATGGAGAAGGGAAACCGGTTCTTCCTCTCAGGGGCCACAATGCTGGTGTGCTGTGAGTATCTCGGGGCAGCCTTCAGTTTACTCGGAAGAAGCTTTTAAGTCGATTTTATTGTAGGTGCTTGGCAACTTGAACAGATTAACACATGGCTCAGGAAAACTGCCTCGTACAATGTTCTCTTTTGATTGTTTGTTCTCTTGTTGAGAAACTTGAATTGCTGCTTGGATAAAGGACTCTTGTCTGCTTCGCTGTTTTAAATTCTTGCTCCTGGAAAGCTAGCTACTAAGCAGCTGGACACACCCATGAGTCGCACTTGTCCACAAGATATTTGGAGAAGGTGGGGATGTTGGAGTCCTTAAAAGATGAAAGCATTGCTATGATGCATGCAATTACTGTAATTCTCATTCTTCTCTCTTCCCAAATATTCCCGACTGGGCAAAAGGTCATATTCTTTTTCATCCCTACATAGCCTGCCAAGACAAACTGGAGTCCAGAGAGGAGAGCTGAGTGGCAGATACCATGAACACCCACTGCACACACGAGTGCAGACTTGAGAGCTCAAACACCTCTGATTTATCCACACAACCAATAGGCTTGATCCAGGGCATATCAACAGAACTGCTAGTTAGGGATGAAAACCAGAGTTCATCTTCCCATTGCCAATGAGGAAAATAGTATCTTTCTAAAATGACAAAAACTTTGTCTTGATTTGAATGTTTAGAAAAACGACAATAATGCACTTCTCCCCCTGCAGGGCTCTGCATCTTGGTCGGAGCATCCATCTACACTCATCATTATGCGAATGGCCAAGGCACCCCTTTTGAAGAGAATAGCCACCACGGCTATTCCTTTATCCTCACCTGGATCTGTTTCTGCTTCAGCTTCATCATCGGCATTCTCTACCTGGTCCTGAGAAAGAAATAAGGCTGAACGAGTGTATGGGGATCTGGGGGGTGGGGAGGAGGAAGCAGTTGAAGATGGGAGGGAAGTGGAAGTTACTCTGCAGAAAGAAGCGAATGGGGAGGGGGGGCGGGGAAGGGGAGAAGAAGGGTGGGAGAGGCCAAAACCATTATTGAGGGGATTCTCTACTGGCAAGCCCCTACCCTTGGGAGAAAGCTATTGGCTAGTTCTTTGATACTCCTCTGATGGGGCTGAGAACCTCCCTCCAACCACCAGCTCGGCCTCCAGCTTTTCTCAGTTACACACACTGCCTAGGGCCTCATCAGTTGCCATATCACTGACTCCACTTCTGAGGGTGAATTCTGGGTCCCGCACTGAGGTCTACAGGCCTACTGCTCCAAGTTAAAGTAGCGGTACAAGTTCCTGCAAAAGCAGATACCATCTTTGTGCTGCATTTTCTTTACCTAGAAGCCATCCCACCCTTTTGATCCAGTCTGAAGTGCCCATAGATGGGCTTTGGCCAGTGAGCAAGGGTTCCTCTTCAGGAAAGCTACATAGCTCTGTGGAACTCAGTGGCATTTGTAACAAAATGGGAAGAAGAGAGAGCTCTTGTAAGGCTAGGTTGGTGGGTTAGCTAAACCAAGAAAGAGGGGTTGGTCAGAGCCCAGGCCAGGCCTCACATGGCTGCCCCTCCTGGAGACCTCTTGCTATGAACTTCACTAGGGCTCTTGCTTAAAACCAAGGCAACTCTTCTAGAGTTTCTTTGTAGCCACTCATAACCAACTCAACAGTGAAAGCACCACATAAACCATAGGATCAAGGGGCCGTCTTGCAATTTTCTTAATTGAAGCTGTATTTTTGGGATTCCCCTCAAAGTGCTCAATGTTTAAGGATCTAATGGGAGAGAGATGGGCATGGCTTTTTTGTGAAACAGTCCTATTACTCTTCCTCTAAATTATAAATGTTTGAGGAAGTTTTGCCTAATAATCTGTATAGGGGATCAAGGCTTCTAGGCTCGGTAATACCTCTAGCTTTGACATTGGCTAGAGGAGACACTTCTCAGTGGCCTGCCTATCCTGCTTCACAGGTGAGGCTTGGCAATTCTGAAAGGTAATTAAAACACAGTAAACCAAAAAAAGACAACAGGTCCTTTGGCGAAAGGTGCTATATAATTGTGAAGTATTAAGCAGACTACATTCCAGTCATGATAAGAACAGATGCCTGTGCTCCCAGGAAAATAGAAAAACCATGTGAGATAAATAAAAATACAGGTGATGGGCAGATAGTTTCTTTAAAAAAAAAAGCAAAAACTTTTGTGGTACCCAGTCAGAGGGTGGTTGAGCTGTCTGTTGCCACAGAAGCATTTCTATATAGGACTTAGAAGTAGCATATTATTCCTGGTTAAGCAGGCATTGCTCTGCTCTGAAGCAGCTATTTTAAGCCATCTCAGATTCTACCTAAAGGGAGTATTTTGGGGAAAGATATTGCTTTTTATCACCCTGAGAAGAAGATCTATTCCAAGAAGAATCTGAGATATCTTGCCTACTTTTCTTTGTCTGGCTTTCTCCTCATCCATTTCTTATATGCTTTTCCTTTTTGGGGAGTTGTTCTGCCATGATTGCTGGTATTTATATAAAGGGACTATTACTAAGTATATTTCTCTATGTTTATTCTAGTTAAGGGAATGTTGAGGGCAGGCCACCAAATTATGTAGGCTGGGAGTAGAGAGATTGGCCAGCATAAAACTGTGGGATAATGAACTTTTAAATTATGATTTAATTATCATATAATTGTAGAAGCCTGTCTTTTGTACAGAAGCACATTTACATATCAAATATATCCAAAAGAGGTATTTGCATTTTGTTACAAAGTTGAACTATGACTGGAGTAAACCATGTATTCCCTCATCTTTTCCTTTTTTTTTTCTGTAACATTTATGTCACATGTAATTTGCATTACATTGGTGGGTTGTTCTAGTACTGTATTTGGCTTCTTCGTTAATGGATTATTTCATATACTATAATTGTAAATATTTTGATACAAATGTTTATAACTCTAGGGATATAAAAACAGATTCTGATTCTCTTTGTTGTGTGAACGTTTTTTTTTCTTAAAAGATATGGAAGAATTAAAAAAGTAGATAAAACAAACTAGAAGAATACTGCTGATAGTGATATTTACCCCTCATTAAGTTTTCTATCAGTTTAATTTAGACAACCTGCCACTTATTTGAGACATTAAGCTCCTTTCTAGTAATACATTAGACATTTCTGCAATAACTCTTTTGAGCAACTGAATGTTATTAAGTGCAGTTTTATTTTGCAAAAAAAAAAATGGGTGTTTGTAACTAATCTGCTAGAGAAAGCTATGATTTTAAATCAGCATGGCTTGTGACATTAAGAAATGAGGCACTTGAGTTTTCCTGTAATAGCCAGCTCTTCTAATGTGTATTTAAAATATAAAGTGATTCACAAAGTTCTGTATCACACACATTTGTAGAAGCTCATTTGAAGCCTATCTGCAGGAGCTCTATGGTGAAGGGAAACTTTACTGCTTTCTATGAGTGAGAAGAACTGGATAAGAACTGGCATTGGTGGTACAGAGCAGGGTAGATATGGTGTATCCCAGAGTCATATAACACCAATGTGGTAAGAATGATTTTAATGTGGAATAAACAATCTTCTGGTCCCCTCTGGTCTTGAATGAAGTAACTGCACAGACTAGTGCAACTAAAAATGCACAATGGAACTTAAAAATAAAGCTTCAACATATTTTAAGTCAATTAGTCAAATTGCATTGATTCTCAATGCCTTTCAGAGGCCTATGCACTTTCATAGTTTGCTTCTGGGATGCTATTAAGGTTTACTTCCCTCCGTTAACTCTCCTAGGCAGTCTTTCTCCCATGTCATTAACCCAGTCATGGACCAAACCTCCAGAATACCCGTCTGGGTACTATTCCCCAGAGTTTTTAGTGAGAATTGTCAAGAACTCCCCACCCTACTCAGGATGTTCCCTCCCATCAAGATGGCAACTTCCCTTCTGAAAATCTGGATAGTTAATAGGATGTGTTATTTGGGATTCTCCGGATAAACAAAACCAATTGGATGTATTATCTATACAAAAAGAAATTTATGTTTTAAGGAACTGGCTTATACAATTATGGAGAAAGGCAAGTCCAAAGTTTGCAGGGCGGGCCAGCGGGCTGAAGACCCAGGGAAGAACTGATGCTGTAGTGCAAGTCCTAAGGCCATCTGCTGACTAAATTGCCTCTTGGGCAGGGGAGGGCAGTTATTGTCTTATTTATGAATTCAACTGATCAGATGAGGCCTATCTGCATTATGGAGGGCAATGTGGTTTACTCAATGTCCACCTATCTAAATGTTAATCTCATCTAACAATACTTCCACAGAAACACCCAAATATGTGACCCCCACATCTTGACATCATGGTTCAGCCAATTCGACACATAAAAATAACTTTATTGGGGCAGAGAGGCACTCTTGTCAAGGATAAGACACTGGCTTACTAAACACTTTCAGAAATCACTTAAAAGAAGCTTAAACAGTGGAAATCTTTGTGTTCACAGTTGACACTTGGCTCTTTTAAGCAGTGAGATTGTGAGAAATGGTGGTTATCTTTCAAGGTGAGCTTTGGATATCCTGTGAAAGGTGAAAGGCCAGAGAGTGGTCAAAGTTTTTTTTTTAATTTTTTAAAAATTTTTTTATACAAAAGCATAATACATTTTTGTTGAATTAAATGTCTTAGGTAGAGTCAAACTGAATTAAAATGGTTAAGTAAATACTCAGGTGAAATTGATGCAAAATATAAGTATAAAAAAGGTGAGCTACAGAGCCCTTCATTGCTATTCAAGAACGGGATTCATAAGCAAATAAATAGTAACTTATTTATTCATCAAGGTGAGACGGTACCAAATGGTTAATAGATGGTTGTATCATGACTCAGCCATTATGATCCTTGTGCAAAACCCCACTGGTTTTCAGACAAAAAACAAAAAATAAAATTCAGAAAGGCCTCAGAAGAAGATATATTTAAAATAAGAGGATATTAAACAGAACTTCATATTTGGACAAAAGAAAAAAAAAACCTCCTATGTTTACTAAAAAATACCCAGGATATGCCAAATATAGATAAAAGTGCCTCAGCAGAAAATGTTTAAATGCATTTAACGAAGGACTAGATTGGGGGCCAGCAAATGGCATAGTGGTTTATGTTACTGGACTCCCACGTGACCAACCATGGTTCGAGTCCCAGACCCGGAAGCTTAAAATTCACACCAGGTGCGTGTGCTTGTGTGTCCAAGATCCCAAGAGAATGGAAAAGAAGGGGTTGTGGCATGGCCATCCCCCTCAGGGGGATAATTTCTCTATTTCCCTCTTGCTGTCTTTCTCTTAGTACACATGCCCTAAGGCAAAAACCTCTCACAAAAAAGGGGGGCTAGACTTGGGGGAACAGAGGAAATTAGGGTAGGGTTATGAGAGAAAGAAAAGAAAGAAGAAAAAAACTTTCTAAAAAGAAGAAAACTTTTTAGAAATTTTGGAGTAGATACTAAGGCGTCACTTATTTTAAAGGTATATTTGTAGTCCAGAGAAGAACACAAGTCCCAGGACACACAGAAGGTAGAAAAGGGTGGATGCCGATTGTGTGGGGACCAAGGAAAGGCAGGTTTTGAGTCACATATGACCTTATTTCTTCAAGAGAGACTTGAGGGCCCACTTCTGAGGCAGGGGGCCTAAGAAGAGTATTGATCACTACTGGGTACTTGGTGCTGCATCAAGAAGCTAGAGAAATGGAAGGAGAATCAGACTTAAGTCCTGTCTTCCTTTAGCTATGGTACACTTCAGGGACCAGTCTCATACCTAGAGAGAATGGAGGCTCTCTGAGGGCTATAGGAGATGTGAAAACTACCTTCTGGAGGAAAGTAGAAGGATTTTTCAGGTCCTCTTCCTGATGACTGTATCCTACCCCATGAGCAATTAGCTCCTATGGATTTGAGCTCTGTTGCATTTCTTACTAGCCAACCCTTCTCTGTCTCAAATGTCATTCCTTTGTTCAAGGCACTTTTTGTCTTCCATCAGGATAATTACAGTTAAAAAACATTCCAATAGCCCCCTGCCCAAAATTCCAAAGGAAGGAATGGAGCTCAGCCATTATGATCCTTGTGCAAAACCCCACTGGTTTTCAGACAAAAAACAAAAAATAAAATTCAGAAAGGCCTCAGAAGAAGATATATTTAAAATAAGAGGATATTAAACAGAACTTCATATTTGGACAAAAGAAAAAAAAAACCTCCTATGTTTACTAAAAAATACCCAGGATATGCCAAATATAGATAAAAGTGCCTCAGCAGAAAATGTTTAAATGCATTTAACGAAGGACTAGATTGGGGGCCAGCAAATGGCATAGTGGTTTATGTTACTGGACTCCCACGTGACCAACCATGGTTCGAGTCCCAGACCCGGAAGCTTAAAATTCACACCAGGTGCGTGTGCTTGTGTGTCCAAGATCCCAAGAGAATGGAAAAGAAGGGGTTGTGGCATGGCCATCCCCCTCAGGGGGATAATTTCTCTATTTCCCTCTTGCTGTCTTTCTCTTAGTACACATGCCCTAAGGCAAAAACCTCTCACAAAAAAGGGGGGCTAGACTTGGGGGAACAGAGGAAATTAGGGTAGGGTTATGAGAGAAAGAAAAGAAAGAAGAAAAAAACTTTCTAAAAAGAAGAAAACTTTTTAGAAATTTTGGAGTAGATACTAAGGCGTCACTTATTTTAAAGGTATATTTGTAGTCCAGAGAAGAACACAAGTCCCAGGACACACAGAAGGTAGAAAAGGGTGGATGCCGATTGTGTGGGGACCAAGGAAAGGCAGGTTTTGAGTCACATATGACCTTATTTCTTCAAGAGAGACTTGAGGGCCCACTTCTGAGGCAGGGGGCCTAAGAAGAGTATTGATCACTACTGGGTACTTGGTGCTGCATCAAGAAGCTAGAGAAATGGAAGGAGAATCAGACTTAAGTCCTGTCTTCCTTTAGCTATGGTACACTTCAGGGACCAGTCTCATACCTAGAGAGAATGGAGGCTCTCTGAGGGCTATAGGAGATGTGAAAACTACCTTCTGGAGGAAAGTAGAAGGATTTTTCAGGTCCTCTTCCTGATGACTGTATCCTACCCCATGAGCAATTAGCTCCTATGGATTTGAGCTCTGTTGCATTTCTTACTAGCCAACCCTTCTCTGTCTCAAATGTCATTCCTTTGTTCAAGGCACTTTTTGTCTTCCATCAGGATAATTACAGTTAAAAAACATTCCAATAGCCCCCTGCCCAAAATTCCAAAGGAAGGAATGGAGAGGAGGATATTATGGCATGACCATCTGGGGGGGAGTGCGGGGGGGGGAGAGTGCTTTCCCACTTTCCTTCTCTCTCTGGCAAGTGAACACACTTTATTTCACACATTTCACCGTAAAAAAACTAAAAAAACCTAAAACTACTCACACATACAAACAAAACAAAAACCAAACTACACCTCCCCAAAAAAACAAGAAAAAAAAGTGAGCTTAAATTCAAGAATGATTGCTTACATATGGCAAAAGAGGGATTTACTACAGTAAGAGACAAATTGAACAAGGTGTGTGGGGCGGGGGAGGGGAGGAGGAAGAACAGACCGGGGAGCTCTTCCCGGTTGAGGAATGCGTTGGTTCCAAAACTTAGTTTCCTAAGTTGGTTGTTTGGAACTCAATGCGTGTTTATCCAAAGGGAAAAATCAAAACTATGGGTGGTCTTCAATTTAGGATGGGGTTTTGTCCTGATAAACCCATCACAAGTAGGAAATATCCAAAGTCAAAAACACATTTAACCCATCCTAAAGTCAAGACATCGTCAGTTGAACCATCGTAAATCCAGATGCTCCTCAACTTCTGATGTGGTCACATCCCAGTAAACTCATATTCAAATAGAAAAGTCAATGGTTCTACTTAGGAATTTTTCAATTTGACAATGACGTGAAAGCAATACACATCCTGTGGAAACCACACTTCAAGTACCCATACAGCCATCTGTTCACTTTAAGTACA